TTTGGGAGAAGAAGCACGGCTTCAGAATAGGTTATTCTTGTCTCACTAACTTATTAATTGCTCGTGAAAGCTTGTGCGCTCTTAAGGACCAGAAGTCACCTGTAGACGTAGCCTACATTGATTTCAACAAAGCTTTTGACAAGGTTCCGCACAACCGGCTGTAACATAAGCTAAGAAATGTCAGAATTGAAGCCAATTTATTGATGTCGATAAAAGACTTCTTAGTTGGGCGTCAACAAAGAGTAAGGGTGAATTCAAAGTTATCCAGCTGGGAAACTGTGCTTAGTGGAGTGCCCCAGGGTACAGTTTTGGGGCCAGTGCTATTCCTCTTGTATGTAAATGACCTTCCTTGTCTCCTATCATCATCGGTCTTGCTATATGCTGACGATGTCAAGATACGGAGAACGATACGATGTGAGGGTGATAGCATAGAACTTCAAAATGACCTAAAGAAATTATCTGAATGGCCTAAAACCTGGCAATTGCCGGCTAATACTTCACAGTGTGTTGTGATGCATATCGGTCATCAAGGTACAGATACATACACGATGAATAACACTGAGCTACCTGTCGTCCAGACATATAATGACATAGGAGTCATCGATAGCCGAGACTTAAAGACTACTACACACTGCCGTGCAATAGCCGCCAAAGGTTTTAGAACGTTATGGTCAATACGTAGGGCTTTTAGTCATGTCGACACTAAGACGTTTTTGACTTTGTATACAGTGTTCGTACGTCCTAAACTTGAGTACTGCATACAAGCGACCAGCTCCTGCTTAAAAAAAGACAGTGAGCTTCTGGAAAAGGTTCGGAGAATGGCAACTAAGCTGATTCCCGGAATAACGAAGCTTCCGTATGAAGCTCGACTGGCCAAACTGAACCTTTTCCCGTTGTCATATCGCAGAACTAGAGGCGACTTGATTACAGTTTTCAAATTGCTTAGTGCCAAATTTGCACTTGATATGGCCTCATTTTTCTTGTCTTCCAAGACAGAGAATTTACGAGGACACTCCAAAATAGTTCACAAGCCCAGAACAAATTGCTTGTCAGCTGACTATCGACTTTCCCACTGAATCATCAACGAGTGTAATTCATTACCTCAGCACGTAGTTGAGGCTCCATCCGTGGACTCTTTCAAAAGGAAGTTGGATCAACTGAGAGACCACCATTGCCAGGACTAACACAGGCCATCAGGCCTCCGGTCCTTCCCAAACTGAAACTGAGTTGTTTATTGAAAAATGTAACAAAGCACTTAAAAGTGATAGATAGATCTGATTAATCTTCTTGATAAAAAAATACTGAATTTCTGACTAAGAGCGTTATGGAATGGGTATACATTGACGTTTATTAATCATTATAAAAATCAATCAACCACTACTAAATTTTGCTTTGAATAAAGAGATTTATATCACGTTACCATGAAGAGGGAAATTAAATAGGATAATTATGAAATTACAACTGAAAACAGTTGTTCAGAACATATATTATGATGAATATTTCATATTTAGGTTAAGTCCATGATTCCATACAGGCCTGAACATCGCATTTACTAATTTGCATGTGTATGGATCAACAATTAGGGAGAAGAGATCGAACAATATAATCTAGGCTGGTGAAACATGACTAAATTGCATTATGAATTAGTTAACATCACATGACCAATAAACAGTGAAAAGAAAACCATTCTCTGTGATAGTGAAACACATAATTAAAACAGGTCATAAGATTGACCTTACATCGTCCTTCAAGTATTTATGTAGAATTTGTTGATGACACATTTTTAGGATTGTGAAAGCCTTGGCCAACAACAAAAAAACTCCTTTGTATGTATAAGAGCAATTTTTTAACCTTGAATCTGTCCTGACAATCTTTAATCCACCGTAATAATTAGATTTATGTGACACCTTTTTTCTTCTAATATTATCTTTTCTCTCTATTTCTAATTATCATTATTTACTTCTCTGAACTTTTATTCGACTGACCTTCATTAGTTTTCAAAATATAACAAGTATATATGTGACCAGCTTCTAATGCCACTGCTTAATATCGTAAATTGTTCGAATATATTAAATGGAAATCATTGGATGCTGGTACAATGATTTCAAAGGTTAAATGCTTGTAGTGAAACGTAGAGGTTTTTAGTTTAATATGGCTCAGTAACTTAGAATCTAAACATTGAATAAAAAAGGAACTTGTAATATTTCGACTTTCATGAAGCATGAATTTAGTAGGATGGAGATTTTATACAATGATGATATATGGAGTTATTTTACCAGTTTTTATGCCATTTATATACCCACGTCAATATGTATACATTGATTCAACATTTATATAGAATCAAGTATGTTGAATGTAATGAATGAAGTAACATTTCAATAAAGCTATCAGGGTGAGATACATGCATCGGCGAAGTTCATTCAGTCAAACTTAATTATTCAATTTGTTATCAAGTATAAACTGTTTAAAGATTTTATTCTCTAAATTAACCAATCGTATATAGAAATATAATAAATTATTTTGATATTTCTGAAACCACAAAATATGTTTTTCCTTTGTTCATATGTATTAAATCCACTGCTAGCCACTATCCATCTTTGCTTATAATGCTTGTAAATTAAGGCAATATCGAGGCATACGCACAGTATGCATATATGCCAATAAGAGACTGATAAATTTCAGTCCTAAAACATAAATGGGAAGATTCAAGTAAAACAATACCAAGTGAATTAGACTTCATCCCATTGCACAAGCAAGTGGCTACCAGGGCTCAGTAGCTAAGTGCATAGCGCGAGGGTGTTTGAAGCGAATGGTACTGGGTTCGAGTCTCAGGCTGAACATTAACTCGGGTGCATCCAGCTGACGAGTCCCGAAGAGGAGGAAACGCGCGTCCTGGATTCCAATGCTAGCCACTATCCATATTTGCTTATTATGTATTAAATACTTTATTTACACGTTGGATCTGATGAAGATTTGCTTATTTACACTCGTTTTCATTAATACTAGTGTTGAATATTTTATTCAGTAGTCGATAAAGAAAATTGAATAAGTGATCATATTATCATCACTATCGCATTTGAAAACGTGAATGCAGATATAAGAAAGTTTTGTTTTTCGTCACTTACAAAATAAATACTAACTATATCATCGTCCAATAGTGAGTGAAACAACATTTAAATTATATGATTAGTAAAACGTTATTGTACTAGTAAATGTAAATATATGGTATGCAAGGTATTTTTCATAGATTTGGGATATGGATGATATGGGAACCAATGGACATAGAAACGCGATCATATGATAGAGGTTATTGGAAAATAATAATAATAATACAACTGTCAATTGAAAAGAAAGAACAACTACAGCCAAACTCATCTTAGAAGATGCGAAGATAGGAAAGCACGAAAAAGCTCAAAATACAACTAAAAAAAATCAAATATAAAGGTATCATAGACAGTATTTATGATGATTCTCCACTTAATCTATTCTAGAAGGACAAAACAAAAACTGTTAATTCATGTTCTGTTTAGAAAGCAAGTGAACTTGATTAATAAACACAAACCTAAGAAATGATGGTGGTTCTAGAATGCAGAAATGGTCAACAGTTATGCAGTAAATTACAACAATAGATTCAAATGCACTATTCAAGATTGAAGAACACAGCTATCTAGTGGTGAAAACCCAAATGAAAAAGTATCCAACTCCAAAACAGGACTGTTAAGTGGTAAAACACTAAAGTAATTTTCTCCCAAAAATGTTCAGTATTATTACTAATACCTATCATAGTCCCATAGGCTGTTGTATAACAATTCCTGATACCGTTATCCAACGACTAGTAGTTACGTACTTTTGTTTAAAATAACGGTTAACTGCTAAAGTGATCATGAATATGTTTTTGCAACTTCATGTTGGGAAACTTACTATGATGAATTGTTTTATTTGTGAGAGATCAATTTGATTAAGTAATGCGGTCTGTATTACATACTGAACAATTGCACGTTAAATAAGTACCACACACTTGATACTAGTTTCTTGCTTTTCGGGTTAAATTACTAAGATTTTCGATGTGATATTGTTACAAACAGGAATATACCCGCATGACTATAGTTTACCCATGGCCGACTGAATAATATACAACACAAGGAGGTGTATTAGAATAATTTTATGCACAACTGAACACTTCACATAACCCTTGAGAATGCACATGTGTTTGTAAATTTAAAGTCGATTATTTTCCTTCTATGTACGAATTATGCTAACCATGATAGAAATCTCCATAAATTTTCCCCTTGTCATTACTTATACCATACTTATCAGTCAGTGAGACTAGGAGTGTAAATCGAGGAAGTCAGATTTACAAGAACATGCCGTTAGTCAACAAAATAACCCAGAGTTATTCAATACGACTAAAAGCTGATTGACGCGAAAGATAGAGGTTTAGAATCCCCAGTTTACAAGAGTAATCGCTTCAACTACGTTATTTCATATTTGAACAGCTGACACAAGGAAATTACCTGACTAAATCAGAGACAAGGATAAATCAGATATCCTAATGGGAAAGAAATGGTTGATAATCACAATACGCAACCTGCCCGATGCTACTCCTTTACTAACGAAGTTAAATTTAGCAACATACTCGGAGTAAAACATATTGGAATGATGTGTTACACACTTTGATAAGTTGGTTTGCGTTGTTATTGACTTTATTCTCTTCTCACCACCTCGTTCACTGTTAATTTTCTATACTACTTATTAATATTCAGTACGTACTTGTATTCCTAACAATTCCCAAGCTTATGTTGTCGTGTAATATTCTAAAATATTTACCGATACTTATAACATTTATCGTATTTATCATTCTATCTGCTTTCTCTAAATCTCTGTATCAGTTATTCGTGATTTTGCATAGTCACTGAATCTTTGTTGAAACGCAAAGGTTCCTATATTTGTTTGTTTTAGGTTCCCTTTTTGCTTGTTGATAAACTGTTATCAAGATTAGACACAGCGATAATTTGCAATATCCTAAGTCATAATTATTCTTTATGTTATCACTGCAGGGAGTCCTTTTTATTTCAGATGAGCTAAGAGCCACAGATACTTCACAAGTTAAGGTTTATAACTAATTTCTACCTATTCATCGATAAAGAACCCCATTCCAGACAGATCGTTGTTTCGCACATATCTCAATCGTTTGATTAGACGCTTCGGTAGATTTAACATACCTATTACTCAATATAATTTTATAGCATAAACCTAAGTATATAAAAATCAGAAAACACGATACTTCACGTCATATTTAAATAGACTTGATAGTATGGGAAATTCGGTAGACATCAATTTACCATTAATAAGAGATATTATGATGCACTCATATTCATGGAATTCATGTAACACAAGTTTCGATAAGGTTAACAACAGCCAAAATTATGGTTAATTCAAATGCTTCTATTATAAAATTATATCTGTTAAAAAAGTTGGAAATTAATTTTCACATCATGATAGGATTAAATGGCACTTGATTATTTAGTGTTTTCTTCAGGTCGATTAGATGATAATGGAAAAATTTCAACTCATTTGTAGCTTGTTACTTAACCAACTAGCATACTCTTCAATTTCTTCATAACTTTCACAAAGTGTAATAATGTTTCTTGACATAGTTGAATTACTGTCTACTGGAATGCCAATATATCCACCAGCTAATGCAGTAGCCATACAACCAATAGTATCAGTGTCACCGCCTAATCCGATCGACAAGACAATGGAACGTAGAAGAGGTGACTAAAAACAAAGAAAGCAATACAATATATATATATATATATATATATATATATATATATATATATATAATTCCTTGAAAATAATTACAAACGTATATGCTTAACCAGTAATAAAATACAGAATGATAGAGACTGGCCTTAGAAACCTTTCGTATGAGATATATTAGACTCCAACTTGGTGATTTAGAGATATATTTACCGAGAGAACTGACTGTCATCAGTTAGATTCTCAAATAGGGTCGTAAGCAACTGCCCAACACATTAGGGATCAGTTCAACTGGCCTTCAGCCACACTTAGGTTTCCCACGATCTCTAGTCAACCTGAATGGCAAGTTAATGTAGGTCCTCCGACTCTTTACAAAGTTTAAAAAGCTATCGGAAATCTGAAGCGAGGGAGAGCAGCAGGCCCTGACAGGTTTACTCCTGAGATTTTTAGGGATGGTGGTTCAGTATTAGCAATGAGATTAACCGAGGTCTTAGGTAGGATTTGGGAACTGGACGTAATCCCATCTGACTGGTCTCAATCACTGATTGTGTCAGTCTATAAGAAAGGAAAAAAGTCCTCTTGTGACAATCACAGAGGAATCAGTTTGACTAATATAGTGTCTAAAATATTAGCTTCAATAATACTTCGACGCCTAATCAAAGCTCGTGAAGAGCAGATTAGAGAAAACCAGGCTGGTTTTCGACCTGGACGTGGTTGTATAGATCAGATATTCACACTACGTCAGGTTATAGAACACAGACACACATTCACACGCCCCACAATCGTAGTATTTCTCGACCTTAAGGCGGCATTTGACTCTGTTGATCGTGAGGTTCTGTAGCAGTGTTTGTCATTGAAGAAGTACATTAACCTTGTGAAGGCTCTCTACTCGAACACAACTGATCGATTGAGAGCTTATGGCGAACTGTCATCAGAATCGATTACCTCAAGTGGTGTTCGTCAGGGCTGTCTACTCTCTCCATTCTTGCTTAACTTTGTCGTTGACACACCTTCCTCAACTAAATTTCTAGGGGTTGAACTTCTACCGGGAGATCCACTTTTTGACCTACAATATGCTGATGACATAGTTTTATTTGAACATACTGACAAAATACAGAGTCTTATGACCACTCTAAGCAACAATGCAAGCATGTTCGGAATGCGATTCTCCCCCTCGAAATGCAAAATTTTGCTTCAGGATTGGGTTGCACTGACACCCGAACTAATGATAGGAAAGGAAGTAATTGAGCGTGTCGATCGCTTCACTTATCTTGGAAGTCTCATCAGCCCTTGTGGTTTGGTGTGTGACGAAATCTCAGCACGGATACAGAAGGCTCGACTAGCTTTTGCCAACTTGCGTCATTTATGGCGTAGGCGAAATATCCGTCTATCAACCAAAGGACGTGTTTACTGCGCAGCAGTTCGTTCCGTCCTACTTTATGGCAGTGAAACATGGCCGGTAAGAGTAGAGGATATCCGTAGGTTACTAGTATTTGACCATAGGTGTCTTCGAAACATTGCTCGTATATCCTGTGATCATCGAGTAAGTAACGCAGTTGTTAGGAAACGGGTACTAGGTAAGGATGGCAAGTCAATTGATGAAGTAGTGGAAATCCATCAGTTGAGATGGCTGTGACACGTGTTACGTATGCCCAACTACCGACTGCCTCGACGTGCGATGTTTAATGGTATAGGAGTAGGTTGGAAGAAAGCTAGGGGCGGCCAAACCAAAACATGGCACAAGTCCATGAAGTCACCGACAAGTGGACTGAGTCATGTTGGTAGGTGTAGACTACCTGGTTGGAGACCGCGAGATGATAGCAACCGATGGTTAGAGACCCTGAATGACGTGGCTCAAAATCGTTTGCAATGGTGCAGGTGCATTCACTCTTTGTGTTCTCCCAAATTCATTTCACTGGGTTATACTTTTTAAATAACATCTCCAAACCCTGATCTTCCCGATTATTGCTTATACTCTTACTACCTCTACCACTACGGGATTTGAATCGACCACTGCATCTCTGTGCTAATGTGGCATAGCAACTCGAACTAATGTACGTACGTACGAAGTTCTACGTTGTTACTGACTGACTTTAATGATTTTCCAGTTTATTTCCATTAATTATGGTAATTATCTTCACATTTACGAAATAGCCTTCAACTTATAGTGGATTAAAAGCACATCAAAACATAAATAATATGTCATTAAAAAGCAAACAAAAGATATCTCACATTAAACTCGATACCGTCTATAGGTTTTAAACTGCGCAGAAATACATATAATGCAGTTGGAACAGAGTTGATGGCTTTTAAATCATTACCTAGAGTGCAGTAGGAAAATAAGTAATAAATTAGTAAAGTGTTAAGTTATGATCATTATAACAGTAATACAATAAATTGTGAATAAAATGCATAGTAGAGTTTCGTCTTGTTAATCGCGGTCATAGTTATGATAATAACGTTGTGTGATTATAATATGTAATAAGTGATGTGTTGTCAAGGTAATAATGTTAAAAAAATTCACTTTGAATATGGCCTATGTGACTGGATCTACAGGAGCAGTTGAATTGGTAAACACACATAAAGGAGCCCATAATCAGTAACCTATCCTTAATTTGTTGTGTAAGTACTGGTCTGGTTGAGATTACATGTATGAGTTAGAGCAAGTAAATAATCTATCAAGTTCCTATTTACTTTTAATTATTAGTTTATTTACTTGTTATCAAAATCAATCAGATTGATCATGGAGTATGATTTAAACCTTCACCTGTTGTGCAGTGAACGAAGACTTGGGTAGAGTAAACCAATTTATTGTAACATGCAAAATCAAAGTGCATTTATAAAAATATGAAAAAAATACACTGGATACAACATTTGCACATCTTGCTGAATTATTTCTGGCGAATTCCATCATTCTTTTGTTTCTGTTGTTACTCGAACTCCTGTTTTTTTATTTCTCTTCTCCTCATGTTCCTCTTTTGTCAGTAAGAATCCTTTTTCAATTCTTGATACATGCTACATATGTCTGTCCGTATAAGTAACACATACCACAGTTGAACGACTTAATGTGTAATGATTTAAAGACCCACATAGCACTCATGTGATTTCAAAATACTAGCTTCAACTACAATTTTGTAAAAGTATAATACGGTGGCTGAACTTAACTATACCTTAATTTTGATAAACAGTATCTGATTAGTGTACCGTGTACTCTACACTTTCTAGACTGTATGTAGTTTTGTTATCATCGAGTACACTGTTCACTTTCGTCAGTTAAACAATCTGACGTTTGTACTTTGTATACGATTAAGCAGTCCTACGGTGTAATGTGAAGTAAGTGTCATATTCACATATGTATACAGTTGAATTTCAACTTAAACCAGTTATTTATGTTTGGATTGTAAATAATTGTGTAGCTAACCAAATATGTGATTCATTGATTGGGAACTGACTGATTAAGTGAATAGTTTAAAGCTGTAAAGTTAACGTAGGCTAAGGAGGATTCATGTAGAGAGTACAAAACTAACTCTTAACTGATACAGTACAAAACTATTTTTTCACACTATCCTAACGTACGGCTTATTTGGAGAGGTAACGTCGTGGTTATAGCATCCGACTTTTAGCCACTAGTTCCCAGATTTGAACCCCAGTATACCTAATTTAGTTCAGAAAACCAGTTAGTACAATTAGCCTCCATAATTAAGGTTTGGTTCATACCCCAATGAAGCGCTCCTAGGGTTACTGCCAATCCAGAGCCCGGATAAGGGAGAAGGGGTGGGCATGGTGTTAGCAACCCTATCTCGTAGAAAACAACAACGCTAAAAAGACGCTAGTCAGAGGAAACAATTAAAATCATTCGAGTTGAATAATTTTTATTTGGAAGAGTTATATATGTATTGAAATGTAACATTAGGGGTAAGACATAATGTGAAACAATTGAAATTGATGACGAAAAGAATTAGAATAATAAGGATTATCAGTAATGATTATATATATATATAGACAAGTGCCCATGAAACACAGCTATGTGATTATTAGTTACAAATAAGAGAAGTAGTATATATAAATATTAGTATAGGATATATAATAGAATTAAAAATCGATAAGATGGGCTATGTAATAATTGAACAGGATTTGAAGAGTTTACATATATTCAAAGAAGGGAATGAAAATAACAACAACAAAGATTTATCAAGGTAGTGATAAGTTGACCATTTTCCCTTTCTGGATTAGTAAATCAGGTTTGAGTTTTTTATTGCTGCTGCTTCGGCGAACCGGATTCGCTGCATTTTTGTCTGCTAATCATTTTAAAGGATTATGGAATGTTAATGGAATGCCTGATATTAGAAAGTGTGAGAACTACCGAGGCGTCACACTACTATTAGTACCGGGAAAAGTTCTCAACAGTATTTTGGACCGGATGAAGTATTCAGTAAATGCTAAACTTCGAGATCAATAGGCCAGATTCCGTAAGGACCGGTCGTGTACAAATCAAATTCGAACGCTATGGATCATTGTTCAACAATCAATTGAATGGGACACGTCACCATACATCAACTTCCTTGACGATGAGAAGACGTTTGACGGCGTGAATAGGAAAACCTTATAAAGTCCTCTTCGGCATTATGGTGTGCTTAAAAAGATTGCCAACACCACACGGAATTCATATGACGGACTATACTGCAAAGTTGTGCATGGAGGACAGCCCACATATCGGTTCAAATCGAAGGTCTGTGTCAGACACGACTGCCTACTCACGCCCTTCCTCTCTCTTCTGGTGGTTGACTAGATCACGAAGACCAAAACTGAGTGGGAGCACGAAATACAATGGACAGCTTGAAAGTAGTTAGACAATTTGAACTTAGCAGACGGCCCAGCTATTTTATCCCATAAACACCAACAATTGAAGGTGAAAACAGTAAGTTTAGTAGCAGCCTCCGAAGCAGTAGGTTCCAACATAAACAAAGAAAAAGCAAGATCCTCAAATGCAACACAAACAGCACCAACCTAATCTGGAATCTCTGGAACTGATGGAAACTTTCACGTATCTGAGAAGCATCACCAATGAACAAGGAGGATCCGATGCAGACGTAAAGGCAAGGAATGGCAAAGCGAGAGCAGCATTCCTACAAATGAATAACACATGGAACTCAAAACAACTGTCAGACAATACCAGAGTAAGAATATTCAATACAAACATCAAAACAGTTCGACTATACGGAGCTGGAACTTACAGAACTACTAAAACCGTCATCAAAAATGTACAGGTTTGTAAAAGTAATTATCTACGCAAGGTACTCAATGTTCGTTGACCAGATACCACCAGAAACAACGTATTATAGCAGAGTATAAACCAGCTTTCATCTGAAGATGAAATTAGGAAAATATGCTCGAGGTGGATAGGACATACACTGAAGAAATCACCAAACTGGATCAATAGGTAAGTCCTAGCTTTGGATCCTGAAGGCAAAGGGAAAAGAAGAAGGCTAAAGAGCACATCGCGTCGGGAATAGGAGGTATAAATTAAAGGAATGAATAGTGATTTGAAAGGCGAGTTCAGGACGGAGTTCAATTAAGAATGCTGGTGGGAGGCCTATGCTCCTCCACGAAGGGTAACAGGCGTACGTAGGTAAGTCATACCCAAGTAACCAGTGAATGAAGTAATGTATTTTATAATTCAGTGAATATTAATCACAAAAGCCTATTTATAGACAAAACTAACTCAGATGAGCAAACAGTAAGAGATGAAACTGGTCAATTAAGTTACTGCTTTGTGAGAAAATGACACACAAACTATCTAATAGAAAAATAAACAATTTTAAGCTAAGGGTCTTAGAAATTACCAAACAGACAAAAAAATAAAAAGAGCAGTTAATAAGTGTCTTCAGAGGTCATTCCTAAAAACCACACAGAGAGACAGTATATTCCTATGTCGTATGTTTTTCACTTATCTAAGATGTTTGTGTTTTGTTTGCGTAGATAATAAAACCCGACAAATCCAAAAATAAGTTTTTATTATGGGCAATTAAATTTCATTGATTACCCTACACTCTCAGTCTAGGCATGTATTTTAAACAGTATTGAAGTAACCATCTGCATTCTCCGATCTCTCCACATAATGTCCAGAAAATTTACACTTTATATGAGTGTCCGTTCGCCTATCATGAAGAACAAAAATCTTCAGAATATACATTGGAAATTTGAATAAAATTGATCAAGGGTCTCTACATATACGATGGAAGCAAAAGAAATGTTCTTCGTGAAAAAGTAAACCTACCCAATTGATGGACAATATTTGTAACTGATGGTTGTTTATCGTCTATCAAGAGATATTTAACTATCTGTAATTTTTCTTTATAAGCATCAAGTGCTTCTAACCAATTGGGTTGTTTAAAATCTACAAAATATTCTGTTCTCTCTAGTCTTTTTAATAAGTTATCGATGAAAGCTACATAATCCAGTTGTATATGATCATGTATTAAAGAGAAAATCATTTGTATAGCATATGCTTGTATAAGTGCTCCACATATAGCCAGTGGATTGGTATGAGTTAACCGAGTAATATCGATAACGATTTTCTGAAATACAATGATAACGTAACATAAAGTAAGGCACTAGTTTGTGAATGTTTTAAGATAAATTTATAAGAGAAGACATTGGTTTAAAACCAATTGATGGGTCAGTAGAGTATAAACAGTTTTTCACTAGTTAAAAAAGATGAAATCCAGGTCAATTAAATTTGGACTGAACTTTTAAATTTAATACATCTGAAATCGAAATTTTGGTTGCGTTTTTAAAGTCACGAATGACCTACTTCTAAGTATTACAGAAAAGCACGTCCAACAATAAAGTAAAGCCCATATCCAGTTGTATTCTTGCCTTTCCAATTTTAATCTTATATTACAGGTAACAAAAATTCTTTTACAATCAATGAACATTGATCATATCTTTCGTCAAGCTTTGACAGAAATTTATCCTAGCACATAAGTATATCCCTGATTGTACTTCTTGACTGGTATTAAACTGCTGATATAGGGAGTTATGATAATCTTTGAATTTGAAGTTTCCCATCACGGACTAATTTGGGCCAAACAATCAATGAAATAAATGGAGCATTGGATATCTGTTTTGGCCTAGTATGGGACCCATCATTGGTGAGCATCCGTGATACCAACAAAGTCAGTCTATAACGTGATATAAAACTAAAAAATACTTTGTTATTAGTGAGCACTACAACCAAACCACCTAGCTCAGAAACTCAAAAATACCAGAAGCGTCCATTCGAGCTGCAAATCTCCATTATTTAACTGGAACGTATAACTGTGAATTAAAATGTCCATGAGTAAATATCTAAAGTATGCAAGCTATGAGGTAACCTGAATTTTGGCCTTGTTCATCTTTGACATTATCCTGTTTTTACTATGTAAGGTGTTTCTTCTTAAGAGATCTGGAAAAGGAACCGGATTAGCAGTGATTTGGAAGAGTAATCACAGAACCAAACGAACATATGCTAGAAGTTGTTAGCCCACAACATTTATGTGAGTGTTTATTTTCGTAGGGTTAACCCCATACTTTCCAAACCTAACTACTGGTATACGAAATCTACGGCGTAAGGAGAAGTATGTTGTATTTAAGATAAACCTTGCTTGACTTTTTTTCTTGTCTGCTGAAATGAATACCATTGAAAGCAACGTGGTCTTATCGGTCATACTGATTAGCACTAATCGGAAGATAAAATATTAGTGGTTGTATCTTTGAATAAGCTGGTGTGATGTTTTTTATGGCCTGTAACCTTATAACCTTATAGGGAAACTAAACAGTAACCATTTACAGTCTACTTATTTGGTGGCCAAATTAAATGTCTCATAAACACCATGGCAATATATACCTTTTATTCAATATACATTGGACGTTATCTAAAATTTATGGTCCGTGTTCTTAATAACAACTACCAATATCAATCTAATAATGTGAGTGTTAGCGGGACATAGACTAGATTAAAGCATGCTCAATGCATGATTGTTTTGGTGCACGCTGATTGGCTGATTCTTATCCAATCAGCACTAGTCGATAGTCGGAGAATATTCTGGATTTTTCTTATGTAAAAACTATAAATATACTGACGTTTTTCCCTATTGTGCTTCCTACTGGCTTCTGACTTGCTATTTGGAATATAATCTTTTTCCTGTTCAACCGTGTTTTGATTTGGGGACTTGTCGAGTGAATCGGTGTCCGAGAATACTAAGCAATAGGAATAGCTGGGTCATTAACCGTCGTAAGAAGAAAGAGATTATAACAGTGAGCAATTAGTGAAACACGTCATTTCAAAAAATCGTCCGAATTACTTCAACAGTGATATTCTATTTATTTTTCACTTAAAACAAGTCGAGATATCCTATTAAATGTAATCGACTATAAGTACGCTTCTCTAATCTGATTGTAAACTAGTGAAATATTATGCTGTAGTACATGATTGTGTGAACTGCTTTAAAAATATTTTAACAAAGGTTGGAATGTCAAAAAGACTCAATACACATAATACACTAGCTACCAGCTTTCTGTTAATGTTTATGAACAACACCAAGGATAACTGAACACCAACGACTATTTCACATACATTATGTGCAACCACCCGGTTTCAAAAAATTGCAATTTGTAATAAATTCCCTGTTTGTCCGAAAATATAATTTTTGAGTATATAGGCAATTACAATTCATAAAATACAAAGAATAGATGACTGAAGGACAGCTCACCTCAAATTCACGTTTAGGATATCGTAATCCATATAGCGCTGCGGGTGCGATTCTCATGGCTCCGCCGTTGCCATATGATCCTGTCCCATTAAATAAATCAGCAGCGTGAGCATACGGATCTTTATAGTTTGCCATCCTAAGTGAGGAAAAAACGCGTCCAACAGAACCACCATAGCACCTATGTAATCCATTTTCAAAGTAGTCAGTGGTGAACCTGGTAATATGGAAGAGGTCATTTTGAGCACACTTGATAAATCATTCCATAGATGTGACAAAAAGCAACTTAAAGTGTACTGACCTGATCATTTCAACTAGATGAAAACGCAAATATTGAAGCTCATTTATTCAAATCAAAATAAAATGAGCTCCTCAACAATGTACTACAATAATATGGTTTTCAAGAAAGTGAAAAACCAGAAAGAAAACACATAGATAGAGGAAAAAAAATCAGAAAACTTCCGCTATTGATATTTCTTTTTTGCGTCACAAAGATATTGTTGGTGATGCACTGATTAGTAGGAAGTCATATTACTCTAAACAGTATATATATGGTTTGCGAATAGCAAAGCAAAAGTAATCTATTTTATTCTGTTTTTTGCTACCAGAATCGTTGGCGAAGCTTTATTGTAACATCGTACAGTAGCATCTGGGTTAATAAATTGATCGAGAGAGATTATATCTTTTATTAACCGATCACTTAGGTATGACTTCGATAATTTGGTCAAGCCTTGTGAATAATATAACCAGTTATTTAGGTACAGTGGGAGACAAATAAGATGAATACAGGTTACTATAATTAAAAATCAAATATCGGAGATCATATAAGGAAGACAATTCCTCAATATTTTCGTATAAATCTAATATATGAATTACAAAGCCATTTCTACTTACTCTTTAGCCAAATGTTCTGCATCGAAACTATTTTTAGCCTTTAATGACCGGAGAATCGCAAGACTCATTTGTGTATCATCACTGTACATCAACTGTTTAGTATCAACTAAGGACAAAGATGAGGAACGTAAACTTTGTACACACAGCCATTGATTGACCTTTGCAGTAGTTCCAAAGGGATGGTGAACTTTGCTGCTGGGCTACCTTCGTACACGAATCCATAACAATCTCCCATCAAGCCCCCAATCAGTACACCACGGCAGAAAGATAAGTAATCCATTGTGAGAAGATAAGTATGTTTGAGTTTCTGGATTACTTGAAACCTGGGTGAATGTAAGATCAACTATTAAAATCAATGTCTTATGTGAGGCTAAGCTTATTGAACAGTCTATACATTAGTCGGAACTATTAAACAAAAAGAGTGGATTCTGTACTCCTGAAAATTTTTGCTCGAGCTGTTGGTGCCTTAAAGTATGTATGGGCATGAATGTTGATAATGTTTTAAGAATGCAGAAAAGACTAGTTAAAAGACTGATCGAGGCCAATAATACAGAATATAGTTTAAACTACCATTGGTTTTAAAATCCATTTTTGGTTTCATTTAGAAGGAATTAAGAAATAGTGTCATTTCTTTAGCAATCAAAACCGACAGCTTCCCGAGATATTACAAAATATTTCGCATATACTTTTTAAGCGACCCTTCTAATGATACACTACAGAGTGATATAAAAGCGTTGTCATTAAAATAAAACTTTAAAGTAACTTATTTACTTTGGAGAAGTGGCTTGGGTTAAATTGAGAAATGTTAGAAATAAGAACTTATACTAATTGAGATGTCACAAAAATATGACTATTTTCTCATTATTAGAAGTATACACTCCCTGTCTTCCCTTAAACTGAGAGATTAAAATCACTTCATATCTTTCTTTCTACGAACCAATTCTTTCTTCTTGTACTATATCTCTATATGCAATCTTTCTCTTATATATTACTACCTTTGACCTAACCACTGCTATGAATCCGGTGTTCATCTTGTTGTGCTGATGCGGTATGGCAACCTGGACCGATGCACATATGTGCCTGGTCCTACGTTGTAGCTGACTGACTATTATTAGAAGTGATCTGTTAGCTCATTGAGACTAGGAGGTACCAGTGTACATTATACTCCACGATTTTGATAAGGCGTGAGTAGAGAACACGGTAAACAGAAAGCACCCAAAAACACGGCCTCGAAGGGAAATACACTGGGGTCCTGCCTCTTCTTCATGTTTACCGATAACATCAGATGAGCTTTAGTTCAGTGGTCTTTCTTTATCCCGACGATACCAAACTATAGAGGTTAAACAAGACTGCTTTAACTGAGTGCAGTTATCTGTATTCTTTCGAACTGCTAAATCTGAAGTACTGGCCTATTCGTCTTGAAATATATATATATTTGCATATGAAAAAGTGACTGGTCTTATTTCCCGAGTACGGGAGGAAGCTCCAATATGAGCTTCGTGGAAGTGCGATTAAAAGCCACAAACGTTTTCCAGATGTTGGGTTTTTCCATAATTTCAAAGTGACTTGAGGGAAAACCACAAAACGCTTGAAGAAATTTCAGGTTTTCCTCAATAACTGGTCAGCATTTCTAACAAGTTTGAGGAAATCCACTGGAGTACGATGGTAGAACTTCAAATGTCGACTTCTAGTAGTGGTAGTAAAGACTGCATTGATCACAATTAATATGGATGAATTTAAGCCGACTTGAATTGTTGTGCTGGATGACAAAAGTTTCAGTGTTTAGGGTAATTAGGTCTGTCCTAGGACCTAATCAAATGTCCGACCAAATTTCACACCTCTTGGAGAGTTATTTTCGAAAACGGTTAAACAGTTTTAAAACAAAAAATTGACAAGATTGAAACTAACATAAATCCCCAAACCACACCTGTACTAGCCTCTGTACAGTCAAGGTCACTGTGTTTGAATGATTAGTATAACATAACAAACACGATTTTGGTGGAAAAGAGATCACATTATTTTTTGTATGAGCAAACAACAGTCAATATCTGCGCGAAAACTAACAAATATGAAGCAGATATGCTAGAAAGAGTCCAACGACGAGCTACTAAGATGGTACAAGGTCTAGCTGGCCTTTCTTATGAAGACAGACTGAGACACCTTAACTTATTTCCGTTATCTTACCGTAGAGTACGGGGTGATCTAATATTGGCTTATCGTATACTGAACGATGACCTTGGTATTAACATGTCTTATCTTTTGCTCCCGTCTAGAACCGATCATTTGAGAGGACATTCGAAGAAAGTTCAAAAACCGAGATCAAACCGTTTACGTCTGGAGTTCCGTTTCTCGCACCGAATAGTGAATTACTGGAATTCTCTGCCGGAACACGTAATATCAGCACCATCTGTTAATATATTCAAAACGAAATTGGACCTCCACAGTACTACAAACTTCAAGGATTAATATAGGTCGACAGACCTCCTATCCTTATTACTGAAGACTGAAGACTATGATGGTATGCTGTGGTGATCAACTGTTGCTGTATATGAAAGCCAGTTAGGCGAAAGCTTCTTCTGTTCCGTCCAGAATCACTTTTTCATTCTCTCGGTTCAATCTGTTAAAAGATATTCATAAAAAGTTGTTTTAATGTGAAAAGTACTCATGCAAATTAGATTTAAAATTCAAAATATTTTCCCATTTATTTGGTTCAGAAGATAATCTTCGTCTGCGTATAAATGAAGTAGATAAAGACATAGGTACTAAATTTCAACAAACCTAAGCCGTTTTGTTGAGTAGATCATTATGTTGGCATCAACAGACTATCAAGAAATAATGTTAAGACTTTATCTCACTGGATGTGGTTCTGTGTCGGTTATCGGTGGCCTGGTTTGTCTGTCAAAATATGCATTATGTACCACAGATGGGAAGTCAAAACCTTGTCAGCAGAAGGCTATGGAGGTTGACTTTACAAAAATAGAACAGCAATAAGAGAGGAATTGTAAATTGGAGGAATCGTACGGAATGTGAAGGACAAATGATGGAGATTTGCAAATGAACTATTGAATGTATGATTCCTGTATTTTACTCAGAGTTATCGTAATTTCGTATTAGAATGCAATTATTTGTCTTACATGTATAGCTAATTTAGTTTTGGTTAGCAACGAAAGTTTTGATGGCAAATACCCACTATGGGTTGATAAAGTTTACTTGAAACATTATTTTTTCAGTGAGTCACTGGTTATTTAATTTTGTATTGCTCTGAAGTGAACATTATGGATGGACCTATTGTAACGGTATTAAAAATCATTACATGTGACATTACTAATGTGAGATTTTTTTATGGCAGCGCAGCAAAGAAGAACAAGCCCTACGCAAGCTGATCCTGCAGAACAATGAATAGATCCACTTCGTGATAAGCTTCCCTTTTTGTACTCAAAACGCATCTTTTAATTTTTAAAATATATTTGTTGTGCCAGTACGCTGTGTTCTTACTTCAGAGGCATTTGAATAACCATGGTCTACTATGATATTAGTACTGCTCTAATAATAGACCCAATCCTATGATCGTAGATTTGTCATGATGTAACTGCCTAATCGATAAGATCTTACGTCGAATTCACATCATCGTCTACACCAACTCACTACATTGTAACAATTACCAATACACGATAGAGAACAAACTTAGGCTAGAGACAGGACAATATATTTAACGTGAATGAAAGATATAAGGTAACATTCATCAGTACAGTGGCAGATGGTCGCGCAATTCCGTGGATTGGTTGATGTGAAACACTAACACCATTGGATGCCAGTGTAGTCGAATTGGGATTACCAATTGTAGCGTGGCGTCGAGTTGAGATTAACTATGAACACCGCTACCAAGATATACGTGCCAAATAGATCAGAAGGCGTAAGAAGCTCGTTCCAAATGACTCCATAAAATCCCCGAGAAGCCAAATATCAGAAGGCAATTAATGGACCAAGTCGAGGTTTATTAGCTGGCGATCTCGTGGCATCGAAAGGATACCGAGATCGTGCCAGGATACAACCTTGGTTACAGAAGGTAACCGAATTCGCGCGAAGTTACAATCAAAGTGTAAGTATAACAATGGAAGCACAAAATAGCTGTCATTACCACAGTCAAACAAAAGCACATTAAAACAAACACTGGTACAGTTGGTTGTAATAATAATTGTTTTTATTAAACCAGTCGTGTTCTCGTGATAAACGTGAGTCACTACAGGAGCCCCCCGCTAGAAAGGGTTTACACTTTCGATAAATAGCGGTTTGAATCGTGGGACTGATCGGCTGATGAGCGATTGTAGGACGGAAGAATTGGCGGACAGGAAAGCGATCGTTGATCGTCGAGTTGCCAACGAAGGTCGTTATCGGAGAACGGTACCAGGAGCGATGTGTTGTATTTATTGCTCGAGTCGGCATGCTACACCAGAGTGGTTTGTATCCAGAATCTGAAGAGGGCGTTCGTAGAGGTGCGCACCAGAAACGCTGCAGACGTAGGACGAAACCACGTTGAGCCGAAAGACCAAAAGCGACCGTTACGACCAAGTTCGTGACCAAGCGTGTGCCAAGCGTTCGAAACCAATATATCGACTGAGTGCGTTGACAAGAGCATGGGTGATCAGGCCAGCTTTCGCCAAAGTTGACTGAAGTCGACGGAACCAAACGGAGATGGTCGAAGGCGTGGGCTCAGGAAACAAAAAGAAAATCAAAAAAAGAAGAGTGTAGCATACGTGTAGTATAGGAATAATCCTACACCGTATCGGTTGTTGACTGTGCGACTATTCGCGGAAGCGTACGGGTAACCGTACTCGGCGACCGGAACGTGAGACGGCAGTCTCGTTCGCGTCGCGTGAGCCTGCAATCTCATCCGAAGTCAAGGGCGGCGTGGTCTGCTGGTCTGGACGTGAGACTGTTGTCTCGTCCGTAGACGGTGCAGATGACGCGTGCTGTTGACTGGGACGTGAGAATGAGGTCTCAGATGTATCTAGCGTGGGACCTGTAGATGATTTGAGGATCCCGCTAGTAGGTTTGCTAGGTCTAGCATTGAATCTCAGGTTGTCAGATAGGGCACTGTCATCGACGTGTGCTGGTTTGAGACGATCAATGCTGACGATCTCGACGCGGCCGTGTCGATTAACCTTGAAGGTCTTTTCGTGACGAGCGATCACGTGAAAAGGGCCTTCGTAAGGTTGTTGCCAAGGTTTGCGTACCGAATCTATTCGTACAAAAACACGTGAACAGGTAGATAACTCTCGAGGGAGAGCGACCTGTCGATGTTGTATTCGAGTTGACACCGGAGACAGCGTTCACATAAATGCAGACAGTCGACGGACGTTGTCTGATTTACCGAAATTAGGTCTGCTCCGTGGTGTGAAGGATTCTCCGGGCAGACGCAATGTCGTGCCGTATACAAGTTCAGTGGCGGAACATTGGATATCTGCCTTTAAGCTCGTTCTCCCCCCTAAAAGAACGAGCGGTAAGGTTTCGTGCCAGTTGCCGTTTTCGTGTGCTCGTAGAACACTTTTAAGTTGGCAGTGAAACCGTTCAACTTAACCATTTGGTGCTGGGTGGTAGACGGATATGCTTATGCGTATGCATTCCGTACCAAGCAGCCGGGTCAGCGAGGAGAATCGTTAATAGGGTAACATTTCTCGAATAGAGCGTGGAATTCATCATCACGCGAATAAAAAGTGACAAGGATTCGGTACACATACGTGTGAGTCTATTATATTAATACTATTCTTATCGTTATCCGTCATGTCGCGTATATTATATATTAAAAAATATGAATATACGACAGACGTGGATAGATAAATCATAGACTCACCGAATTGGCTTCTTTGGAAGATTTGACCAGAAGCTGAGGCGTGTTCCAAAATACGGGTCACCAATTGTAGTCGAATTGGGATTACCAATTGTAGCGTGGCGTCGAGTTGAGATTAACTATGAACACCGCTACCAAGATATACGTGCCAAATAGATCAGAAGGCGTAAGAAGCTCGTTCCAAATGACTCCATAAAATCCCCGAGAAGCCAAATATCAGAAGGCAATTAATGGACCAAGTCGAGGTTTATTAGCTGGCGATCTCGTGGCATCGAAAGGATACCGAGATCGTGCCAGGATACAACCTTGGTTACAGAAGGTAACCGAATTCGCGCGAAGTTACAATCAAAGTGTAAGTATAACAATGGAAGCACAAAATAGCTGTCATTACCACAGTCAAACAAAAGCACATTAAAACAAACACTGGTACAGTTGGTTGTAATAATAATTGTTTTTATTAAACCAGTCGTGTTCTCGTGATAAACGTGAGTCACTACACCAGCTTAGTGATCTAGTAGGTTAAGCGTTCGCGCGAGACTGGAAGCCCTGGGATCGAATCTTGCGAGCGGGGTCGTAGATGAGCACTTCTGCGGAGTCTCACAATAGGAGAAACGGCCGTCCACTGCTTCCAGGTTTTCAGTGGTGTTAAGAGATCAATCGGTTAATGATCTCAATCAAAAAAATTTTAATTCATATAGTCATCGTAAACATTATTTATATTGATTAGTTATTACAGTGTATTCAAGTACAAATTTCATATATATGTATTCATAAAAGTTGTGGTAGAATAACGGAAAGATTAACTTATGATTGTTTATAAAATACACTATTTACTGACCTATTTTATTTATAAGACCTTTTTTTCATCACTATCAGAATATTATTTTCATGGATTCACTTTATATGTTTAACAGTATTAATGATTATAAAAATGATGAAAACTTTTGTTATTTGATGAGAAGTGAAACAAGGTCATTGATTCAACTATAAATGTTAAACTGTATATTGATAATTCAATATTATACTCATTCAATAATCTAATCACTTACATCTCTATTTTCTTAATGATGATGAAAACATGAAGTGTCCGACAGAATTTCGCCAAAGAATGTGAAGATGCCATCAATAAACAAATCAATGTGGAACTACAGGCTGCTTATGATTATATGGCATTCTTCACTTATTTCGATCGAGATGATGTGTCATTTCCGAAAGCAGCTGAATTCTTTCGAAAAGCTTCACATGAAGAACGTGAACATGCAGAGAAATTGGCCAAATATCAGAACAAACGTAGTGGTCAAATAGAATTTATGGATTTAAGAGCAGTTCAGAAAATTGAATTAAATGATCTTGAAGAAGCATTTGAAATTGCTCTAAATTCTGAAAAGTCGATTTATCAGGTGAATTGACTAATCAACTAATTATTATTATTATTATTATTATTATCATCATCAGCTTTATTCAATATTATATTTTTGGTACAATATAGAATTCTCAGAGTAATGTATTTCAACAAGTTTCCGTTTCTTTCTTCTTGATCGGTCCTGGCGATAAATATCGAGTGATCACCAGTTAGATGTTAGCAGTTCAGTAAATGAACATCTGAATAATGTACATTCTTTGCGCTGTATATTCCCAGCAACCACATTGTCTCTTATTGAGTTTTTTGTAACTTTGACAATGAAAGGTTGTGCACTTTTCGGAAACGCAGCAAAATACATCATGTGATTAATAGATATAATGATATATTAAAACAAACAAAAATAGATAACTTGTTGAAATATCTAGATGACAAGAACAGGAAGCCCAGATGCTCAAGCAGGCCGCTCTCTAATCATTACTAATAAGTTTATTTTTTATAAAGTAAGATATTTTTAAAACTGTTTTCTTTTTTTTCATTCCAAAATTAATTATCATATAAAATTTCATGTTAATGAATAAAGTTAATATCTGATTATGAAATTGGCCATGAAACTAATTGAATTCAGATACAACTAACTGATTTTCTTTGATCTCATTTGATTTAATTGCAAAGGAATTTCAAATTCAATATGGAACACTGAAAATTGTGATTTAACATTTGGTAAACAAACTTTTAAACTAATAAAAGTTTCTAAGTTTCTGACTGGGACTTTTATTACTATTCATTTGGCTTTGTTACGTTGTCCTCTCTCTCTGTTATCACTTATTCTGATTAGTCGATTGATGATTAAATAAGCCAGACATAATCTTTTCAATATTTTTATAATGACTAGGAATTTTTTTGATTTATTCTACCCTATTATTAAACAATTTTAATATTTTTTAAATTGTTGATTATGTCATGATTTTGGTCACTAATTTCATTGCTATATAAATTGAACTTGGCAACTTGACTAATGTAATTATTAAACGGAATAGGCAACGGCTCAATAAGAAGTTCTATAATCGAACACCCTGTGAACACAGGTCACTCAGTCAGGACAGACTCTGCGTTCAAAGTCATCTACAAGGTAAGTAGAAGCCTTCCTAAGACAATTAGACTGCATCTTCTTTGCATTGCCGAGGCAATAGCCATACATTTTGAAAAACCAGAATTCTGTGTACAAAAGAGACTGGTACAACCTCTTCTTTTACCATGGTCTTAATGTATTAAAAAATTTTTTTTCTCTTTCTTCATACTCTTGTTCCTTTACAGCCACCTGCTTCACCTTCCATCTTCCCTTCAAATCTTCTACCCCCAACCGGTTTGTTTTTATTTCCACGATCATTCCGATTACATTTCATCTATGTTATTTTATCATGCTGAGCCATCCTTACCCGATGAATACTTAAGCCATTAACTATCAAACTTTCCTTGTTTAAAAATTTTTTTTTCTAATACCGTTGTTTATTTAACCTCACTGTCACCATGTATAACAGAAGTTTATTATCAGTATTATTATCACCCTGTAAAAATAAGTATATATATTTGCGATTGTGCAGCTTTGAAAATGAATTCGCCGAAAAGAGAACTCTTCGCTGAACTAATCTTTCTTTCTTATTTAATGTAATTATGATTAATTGACACCATTGAACGGAATTATCTATATTACTGATGTTGAAAGATCAATGGAGTAGCAGTAGGTTCACATGTATCATTTGTAAATCTATTCGTGAATAAATTATGAGGAAATATCTTCATGTATATACTCAACCTAAAAATATGGCAAAGGTGTCCTGATAATACCGTCATAATATTAAAGTGTGATGTATATCATCTATTTATAAAGAAATTAAGCCAAAAAATAACCCAGTAATAGATTCACTTCAGTATTGGATAGTTGTAAATTACTTGATCATACAATCATTTTATTTAAAACTAAATCCAAATCGTCTATATAGAAATGAGGTGATAAGACAAAATTTTGACCTGATGCCCAACACTTTATTCTTACAAACTAACATGGCCACAACAACAGTGTTAAGAATTTCACATCACATTAACATATTCTATTTTCAAATCTAACAATCTGTAAATATCCGTTATGTTTACCTTAATTCTTTATTCAACAACTCAGAATTATTTCAAACAAACAAACAAACTATGATCGAGTTTAGACAACATTAAATAGAATTACTTTATATTTGTTCTATATAAAATCAAAATTGCAAAATATTATACTTATAATGTATCGTTGGAAGATTGTGTTATAACTTGTGACCTGTGTGCCTTGTTAATGTAAAACTTAACGATACCGCCGATTAGAGAGCAGTGAATTATCGATCGGATCAATGACGTGTAAACCCGTATCAGCAGCCTAGAGTACTTATCGGTTCTACTTCCCGCATAACCCAGTCAGTTAAGTCCAGAACACCAATCCGAGCCCCTGCGATATGGAATCGTCTATTTCAAACATACGGGATTTATATACCAATCAAACAGACCACATCGTACCATAAAATAGGGAACAACATTTGTACAAGATGTGGCCAAATGTGACTGTGAATGTGCGAGGTAGTGATTAATAGGCAGGGAATAATTCAAAAATGGAAAATCGTATAATAACAGTTCATAGGTTAAAATAAAGCTTATGATAAGAGAGACATGAATATGAATAGTTTAGTTAATTAACAATTATACGATAAAAATATATTCATAGTATTGGTTTATAGATGGATCCCAAAAGTTACCATTCATTATGCTTATCAGGGCATAACAGATTGAAACCAAACAACTGTCTTTATTTCATACTGTTTATTATTATTATTTAAAAAAAGCATTTACACTATACTTTAATTTATCTTTTGTTATTTACTTTAAAAAATTTTTTTTCCTACAGTCCCTACTGGAATTACATAATGTCGCTGAAGAACACAATGATCCAGGGTTATGTGAATTTATTGAATCTGAATGCTTAAAAACTAAAGAACGATTCATCAAAACAATTGCTGATTATTTAACACAAATTCAACGTGTTGGGAAACAACTTGGTGAATATTTATTTGACCAATTAACATTGAAAGAATAATAATAACTAAAATATAAATTAATTGTGAATAATCTTGTTTTATATTTATTCTTCTTAAAAGTAGTAATAGCAGTAGTATATACATAACTACATTATTTACTTCAATAAATTCAATAAAGTTTTTATTTAATATTGAACTGATCGAATACTCAAGTGAATGATGAATTCCCGTCAACATATTTCTTATTTAGCCACTTATTTCCTTATTTACTTACTGACTGAACCTGATTGCTCTTCTTAAAGTATAAGCTGTCAACCAGAAGTCTTCAAGAAACTATTTTGAGCTCTTATATTTAGTTATTACAAAACAGTGTTCGTGGTCTTAATGTCATTCTCTAATGTTTCTTGTCATGTTTGCTTCATTCGCACTCTTTGTTTTCCTTGATGATTCAAAGTTACCTATTGTTTTACAATGTAGTCTAATGGTTTATATAGTGTCTTGTCCAACTCTAAAGATTTTACTTGATATTCGCCTCAGCCGAATTGTTTACAATCAGAGTAGGTTATTGCATATATTTTCTGCTTAACGGAACTGTAGCTGTAATAGAAAGAATATGCTGAAAATCCATCCATAGTATTTTATTGGACAGTATTGTTATTTCGTTGTTCTTTTTCCCTGACCTGTATTTTAAACTCTACTCAGGTCTCTTGTAACCATATTTTGTTTTCTTCAGTCTTCTTTGTCTGGACATTTACTATTCAACTTCGGCTCAAGATTTATATCTATTATTTTATTTTACTGTTGTGTGTTGCCGGACCATTGACTATGAGGTCGTGTTTGAATAAACTCGATGTTACGAAGTGGTTCGATCAATAATTATTGACCTATGATCGTCATCTGGAAACAGTCACTCGAATCTTTGCAGATAGATATTTGATCCCATCTTGTTGGGGATTCGCTTATGGATTCTCAGGTATTGAACAACAATTTAACAACCATTCCTTTTTCTGTTCAGCTCGTTATTTTGTGCATGGAAGACCTTCGACTGTTTAGCATATGCTATACCGTTCGAGGTATTCTGTACTTTTGATAAATTCTGTTTCCTTTCTTAAATTAGAACCGTTTAAATCGAGCCCAGTGTGTGTTTGGATATAATTCAATACGAGGAATTGAAGAATGTTTAATATTCGGTACAGAATAACGTAGTTTGATCTACTGAAATAAAATTTGGTTCGTTAGCTTTGGGTTTAAATTAAGTACTGGAATTACAGTCGTTATAGTATTATCTTGCATCGACAACTGTTTATAGATTACTGTGCATCTTTGGTGTTGTCGAAGGTAATTCTCCATGTTTCAGCTCCATATAATAGAACTGTTTAAATTTTAGTGTTGAAAACTTTGACCTTCGTCATTCACTTTGAGTTCCAGATATTTTCCAGATGAATGAATTTAGCCCTTGCTTTACCAATCTGTGCAATGATTTCTCCACTGAAACTTCCTTATTGATTAAGAATGCTGCCCAGGTATATAAAGTTGTCCACCTTTTCTAGAGTTTCATTATGAAGTGTGATTTAGTTGGTGCTCACTGCATTGTACTACCTGATCTTACTTTTTCCTTGTAAATTCTGAGGCTCACTTCTGTAGACGCTGCTTCTATGGCGACTATGTTTAACTGCATTTATGGCTGTGTTTGAAAAATTGGAGGGCTGAAGCATCTACAAAGTTCAAAACATTCAGCTATATACAAGCTACCTAGTGTATTCCATACACTTCCTGAGATGTGAGAGTGGAGATTGTTAAGTTTTTGGTTGAGATCATGAATTAATTGATGTTAGACCGCTGTTGGAAACCTGGAAGCACTGGACAGCCGTTTCGTCCTAGAATGGGACTCCTCAGCAGTGCGCATACACGATCCCGCATTCCGCGAGATTCGAACCCAGGACCTACTGGCTTCGCGCCTGAGCACTTAACCATTAGACCACTGAGCCGGCATCCAATGATGTTAGTGTCTAACATCAACCAATCCACGAAATTGCGCGACCAACTTCAATTGTACTGAGGTAGATACCTATCTCTACCCGACACGGATTAGCTCCACTGGTCACGACTTCTCACTAGAACTCCGAGAATTCCCTCACGAAGCTAGTCACTAGTGAGCACATGTTAATTATCAGTATGAGGGTTGTGGAGATTGTTAACCTATTTTGCACTCCAAATGGATTAGTAATAATGAGGAAATATAATCTATTGTGTTTCTTTTTACCGAATAATGTATCAAACAAAGTGAATAATAAATTCTTACTTTAAAGAGAAAAACTAAATTCCTATAAAAAGTATGATATTTCAAGCATACCAAATGCCTCATAAAAACAATAAGGTATTATTTGGATTTTCTATACATGTTCGATGCCTTCAGAACAAACCACACTTTACGTTTCATCTTATTGGCACGACAGATGATTTGCATTCAATAAATAGTTCTGGAAATTTCAAAAATAATGATCGGAATATATAACCATAAATTTGCAGGACAAAACTTGTCTCGGTCATGTTTGAGATCCAACAAATGTTGGTATTCGGTTGTGACCATTTGTAAGGTCATATTAGATTCTCGTTCATTACACACTAAAATTCCTATGCGGATGTCAACAGTTAGATTCTTCAATCTGCAGATAAAAATCAAACAGTTAAATTGATTTGCTGTAATTTCATTAATTTTGAATCGCTCGCATTCTCGATGTACTTTCCTAGAATAAGTGAGATAATGATCGGATTAAGACTTTGATATTTGAAAACATTGATAGCGAATGTCGAATAATGAGGACTGTCCTCCAAATATTTTAGATAACATTTGGGGTGTACCATTAATTGATAAATCCCGAGGACTTTGTGGCAGTATAAAATCCACATATGTATTATATCAACCTGTTCCAAGTCTTCTATGAAGTAAGAGAAATTTGGCTTTATCATCGAGAGTTGAGCGTTCGACACGGAATATGTCTTCTAATAGATAAAACCAGAAATCGAATACGATACCAGATTCCGGATTAAAGTTGAATTCAAGAATGAAATCTGCGATGCTTTCATATTTATCTGGTTGAGAGGTCGAAGTTGAATGAGACAAGACTTCTGCGTCAGTGTATCCAAAATCTCTACTTCAGTTGCGTCTACCCACGCTTGTTGAATTTGTAAAATGGTTGTAAGGTTGTCCAAAGACAGATATTTTCTTTTTGGGCAATCAAAACAACAACAAAATTTTCGTCGCCACTTTTGTTGCGTCCTTGATCTGTCTACCCAGTAATATACAGGAGAGAACTTGTCTCGATCTAGGTTAAGTCCTTGACACGATAATCTATTTTATTTAACTGTGAGGCTAGAAATGCGTGAGCCCTAACTAAGACTAACGGCCTTGGGCAGAAAGATGAAAACTATTCTATCACATGATCGGTTGACAAGCGAGAGAGTGAGGAAGAAGACTAGTCGATTTATTCCTGATTTCCGATCCCAGATTAAAAAGATACATGAATAAAAAAAGGACTAACATGACCACAACGCAAAAAAAGAAAAACACAATGGTGTTCAAACTGGGCGTTACGGTAGAAGAACAGAATACAAAAGGTTACGTTTAAATTACTTTATCTTTAGTACAGAAAAGGGTGTGGCAGTGAATCATACATCAAACGAAAGCTTATGGTTTGTAGAATAACCTAGGGACAAAACTAATTGTTAGTATAGCTACTGTTATACACCATGGATTCTTTGTGTCTCTGTTCACATCAGTTTTATTAAATTGTTTAATAGAGTATTTATTGTTTTTAATGTTAAATCTAGAAAATTTTAATAAGTTATATTGTTCATTGTTCTTTTTGTTAGATTTGTCCTAATGTTAACCAGTCATAATGTCCCCATTGCATTCTATCCGCAATTAGTATCACTATGTATTGTTAAATACTAATGCAATTACTTAACATCTAATAATCAACGAAGACATTGATGAAACAGTTAAGCTTATACAAGAATGGTGAATTTTAAGGTGAAATTATTTTGAAAACTGTCCATATAAACAAAGATTTTATAGTCATGGATAATAACGATTAACAAAAGTGAAATTTTAAAGTAACAGTCATTGTGTAACGAACGTAGTTTTTATTGAATTAAGCTGAATCACACACTGCATTTATAAAATGTGAAAATGATTCATCAAATATGCCATTTGCACATCTTCTTTGGACTCACTTATAAACTTCATCTTTCTTATATCTCTGTTGTTACTGGAAGTGCTTCTGTACTTTTCTCTCTCTTCATATTCCTATTCGTTCAATAAGAATCCCACTTCCAATTCTTGATACATACTACTTATATCTGTCCGTATAAGTAGCACATATCACAATAGCAGTTAACCAAAGTTCCAGTAAGCCGTCACCTTAACTGAAGAGTGATACAATCAAATGGTTTCATCTATAACCACTAGTACTCATGCAGGTGCCAATTTAATATGATGTGACTTGTATCAGTTTAAAAGGGAAATAATTGAAAAGAAAATTCAACTGGGTTTAGTAAATGTAAGCAGATAATTTCAAGATCATACTATTGACAAATTAAGCAACCTCGGTACAAAGATACAATAATGCTATTTCAACTCTTTTAAAAAAATATGAGTCCTTAAAGCATGTGAAAAAATAAGTAGGAAAAGTTACAGTTTAACAAATGTAGATTTATAACTATTAAATATTTCAATGGTTAAGATCATGAGTCGATTGAAGCTAGACCACCACGGAAAACCTGTAAGCACTGGACGGCCGTTTCGTCCTATTGTGGGATTCATCAGCAGTGCGCATCCACGACCTCGCCCCCCCCCGCGAGATTCGAACCCAGGACCTAATGGTTTCGCGCGCGAGCGCTTACTCACTAGACCATTGAGCCGGCATTCAACGGTGTTAATGTTTAACTTCAAGTAATCCACGAAATTACTATAATATCCACAAAACCCATTTGATATTAAATATTTAATGATAATTATTTCCTTTTTGCTTCATTTAATGCTTCAATAGAATAAGGTATCATGACTTCATGGTGCTTTTTTGTAAAGTTCATCCATATTAGTTCTTTTTCACTTCAGATACTTAAACGAACATGAACCTAGTAGAGAATTATTAATACAATATGTGATATTAATTAGAAAACCGAGATGTATAATTTAATATGCTGTACTTTGAGTGTAAAACAATGATTCTGTTTAACAATGTATGTGTAAATTTCATACAAGAATTTACGATTACCACGTAAAATAGAAAGGTAGGAACCAAAATAGAACTATTCTTTTGCTTACGATAAAGTGGCTTGCTTAAATATTCTAGTCACCTGTTCCTGCCATCTGGATATTTCAACAAGTTATCTGTTTTCTTGTTTGTTTTAACACGTCATTATGCCTATTGGTCGCATAAATTATTCAGGTGCGTTTGTGAAAAATTTAAGACTTTTCTCTGTACAAGCTACAAAATAGCCCGATCAGAGATATCTTGGTTGCTGTCAATATGCATCGAAAAAAATATACATTAATCAGATGTCTATTCCTGAACTACTAACATCTAACTGGCGACCACTTAATAATTATCGCTAAAGTCGATCAAGAAATAAGAAATGGAAACTTGTTGAAATACTTTGTGCTAAGAATTCTATATTGTACCAAAAATATAGTATTGAATAAAGCCAACAATAATAATACCATTAAAGAATTAAACGATGCTACAGAACAATTCTGACTAAAAAGTCTTTCATTAATCTGGTAATAATAATAAATAGTTCATCTAGTTTTATCCAATTAAATAATTTGAATCTCACGAGGCGGCATCATGGATGCGCACCTCTGAGGAGTCCTACAATAGGACGAAACGGTCGTCCAGTGCTTCCAGATTTTCCATGATGCTCTAGCTTCAATGATCGCAACGATTAAAATTCGATATAACTTAAGTTGTATACGATCACACTTTCATCATTCATCAAAGTCAACTAGAGTTGAACAACTTAAATTTTTAAACTATTTTTTTAACAAAAAACTCCGATATTCTATTCTTCTTAATATGTCACATAGTTATGAAGAATTTATCATAAACATTAGTCACAATCATACAGTTATATACGTACTGGTGTACTTCATATTGTACTATTATAATTTTACGATGATGTCACTGTTAGGAAAATAATTTCACGTTTTAATCTTATGAAACTATAAAATCGGCATGGATACGAAACAACCAATAGGGAAACGATTTGAAAAAATTGTATGAAATTTGTATGAAAGTAGATCATGTCTTATAGATATTAATTTCAACCAATCTAAATAGCATAAAATAGTTAGTAGTGTACAAACAGGTATTCAAAACAAATGGAAAGCATTTGCTTGATTATTCAATCCTAATATTATTATTTAGGAAATATGTGTTTATTTCATAGCTTTAACAGTTCCTATGTATTGTTATGCAGTATATGTGTCTGTTTTGAAATCAATAAAAGGACTGAACAAATTTGGATTGAATCAGTTTTAGTCAATTGTTAGATCAGTGAGTGTTAGGTTAGACGAACGACTCTAGTAAACGATCTAGGAAACTAAAGAAATTAAAAAAATAGTTTAAATAGTTTAAATTAGAAAAACCATGAGTGGATCAAGAGCCAAACATAATTTTGCCAAAGAATGTGAAGATGCCATCAATAAACAAATCAATGTGGAACTACAGGCTGCTTATGATTATATGGCATTCTTCACTTATTTCGATCGAGATGATGTGTCATTTCCGAAAGCAGCTGAATTCTTTCGAAAAGCTTCACATGAAGAACGTGAACATGCAGAGAAATTGGCCAAATATCAGAACAAACGTGGTGGTCGTGTTCAATACAGTGATATCAAGTGTCCAACTAAGACAGAATTCAGTGGTTTGGAGGATGCTATGAATACCGCCCTTGGAATGGAAAAAGCAGTTAGTAGTGTAAGTCAGAACACTAATTACTTATTGATTACCTTTTTTTCAACAATCAAGCTACTTTTTAAATTGGTTTATTTATGTGGACATTAAGAAACCGGCCGAACAACCATGAGGTCATGACCTGATACCATGAACTAGAAGACAGAAAATATGAATGTTCAGTTCATGATGAATAAAAAACAAAAGAACCTACTAGGGATTTATTGGTTTCACATGATCATTGAACTTTCTTAAGTTATATATGTATGGTTTAAATACATAGTTCAGAAGTGGGATCTAGGTTCTGACATAGGATTTAGGGTTAGTTTATACATTCTGTAAAATATAGTCCTGACTAGGTCTTAGTGTTAACATGGATTCTACCGTCAGAACTAAATTTAAGAGATATTGCGTCAAAATATGCTACTTCGTGTTTCTTTGAACCGATCCATAATCGCTTCATTATGCCACTTACATGTCAGTATTTTCATTAATTTTAAGCCTTATGAGTACTAAGTGATAATTTATTCATCAAAACGAACCGAAAAACTGCTAGCAGAGAGCATGTTAGTTTGATGATTAGTCCATGACATTGGAGTCACTTACCCCATACCAATCGTTTATTTTAATTGTTTATCTGTTACAGAAGTAAGTGTTTACTCCTTTATATTTAAATGCATTGTTCACTACGAATATTTACCAAATGGCAAGTAGTTTCCAGTTGTTTGAATTGAAGATGGAAAAAACCAGTAGGATATCTTGATTAGTCTGGCTTTAGACACATTTAAAAATTCTGTTATTTTACAGAAATATAACTAAATTCTCTAACTAAGCACGAGATATAGCTCAAATAATATTCAGATAATGAAAACCTAAATCCACTGATGGATAAAATACATTAAGGACGATGATGTACTTAGCCATATTCAAGCTATATCTTTAATTAATTTATTTATTTAAGGTTGTATGGTGTCTATCTGTCGATTGTTTTTCTAATCTTGTAAGATGTAGTTCATTGACTGTTTTTATATGCATAGTGGATAAACAATTACAATATAGAACTAAAGTTTAGACGACTGTTTCAATTATGGGTATTGTGTTCTACTGTGAATATAAACCACATTAGATTCTATTTTATAAATCGTTTTTAATGAAATGACTTACATGTTTATGTTAAAAAATTTAGTTACACAGTGAATCATCAGTTAGCATTCCAGTTAGATTTCTATTCCGTGGTGTTGTAAATAGTCAGTAAAATTTAAGTTCTATAGTCAATTACGTTCTCAATAAGTTAGTAATTCTCCATAAAACTATTCAGTTTGATCACTAAGTTTCTTGTATTTTAATGTCCGTTTACTGAGGTTTCGCATCAATATTTCGGTTTCAGTGGGTAGTTATTGGTCATATAGGATTATTTGGATTCCTTTGTTGGATTAACCACACAATCTAAACTGACATCATTGCACAATATCCTACTATTTCATCATTTCAGTGTCATTGGTTATCTCTTAAAATATGAAATCCTAACGAATCAAAACATTTTTTTGGCATTGTTAACCATAGGGTTGTTAAGTTAAAAGGTGTACTCTGTCTGCTGATAGTTAATTATATGTTACTCTGAATAAATATCGTTTTCATATTAAACCAATTTCCAGCTACGTATTCGTACGTAGCTTAATATGGAACTCTCTCCTATACCAAAACGAGGTCATGTAGAATAGCACTGATATTCATCGTTCGCACATGGTTATTTCATAAAAATTTATACGGAGTTGACCAACATGTTCTTTAGGTACTTCATTTCGATTACACATTTATCGAGAACACAGCGCATACATTTATTATGTAGTTTCTATTACGTATCGACCTTATTTAGACAACCACTCAAAACTAGGAAACGGATAGCTGTTTACTCTTAGTTTGAGAGTCGCTGGGGCTTATCCAAACTCAGGACCTTAAGGTATCGCTACAAGCGCTCAACCTTTAGATAAATGAGCGATTACCAATCGTTTGTTAGTTCACGATATTTCTAAATCCGTGTTCAACACCACTGATGATACTTATTTCACACCTGACACGGTTAAACTTCACTGGTCGCAGTTTCCCTATGGAACTCTAGTGACTACCTTTCGAAATTCGTCATTTTTTTATTTTACAAAACCAATTATTCAGTAATCATTCTATTACTTTTTTCTCTTAGTCATTATTAGAACTCCATGAAGTAGCTTCAAGGAACAATGATCCAGGATTAACAGATTTTATTGAAAGTGAATTTCTTCATGAACAAGAAGATGCAATTAAACAATTTGCTGATTATTTAACAGAAACACAACGAGTTGGTAAAGGACTTGGAGAATATCTATTCGATAAATTAACATTAAATGAATAGAGTGATTTTAATTATTCTATTTTAAATGACATTCCTCATTATCATGATTTTATTTGATACAGCATAGTTTGTTTGTTTTTAAAAATAAAATTTATTTGTAAATAGATCACATTTACTTCAACAATATAACCATCTAGTTCTAACATGCTTTACTTTTTCAATATCTTCTATAAGCCTATCACGTTTTTCGTTCGTGTTCAAGTAAAGCCAATGTTGTTAATAATCGATAAGGCGAGAAACAACTAATCGAATATTCTGTAATCCTATATGATCAGTTAACTAGATATCAAAATGTTATAATAGTCCAAATGATATAAATGTGAATTAATTTCTTTATCCTTATAGTTTGTATATGGATTAAACGGTGTCTATCATTTTTCACTTCATAGTATAAAGGTTTTATAGTAATTCAAACTTAGTGTTATCCGTAGCATTTTAATTGTTCCGTAAGTATGTCTGCAATGAAAATTACACAGTACTTTGTATCACTTACCTATTAAATGAGCATAAAAATAACTAATAGTATCGGATACAGTAGGATTATCGAATATTAGAAGTGTTGTGTATAACCTCAACAGAATTTAAAGTAAGATCTTTTAAAATAACAAGTTGATATAATTGCTACGAGTTATAAACATACTCAATCAAGGAGAATTAAGTGAAATCATCTCCATTTATGGTGGGACGTACACATTTAACATGAGTTTTCAGATAAATAGTAGTGTCTAACTTTCTGGGAAGAATTACCGAAAACATTACCAGTTTGAGAAAGTGACGTAAAATAGATCTTATATAAAAGAAAACAGTAAGATTTTCTGCTCTGAAGCAACTAGTCAATACTTGTCACCGCAACGAAAAAGTTAACGTTCAAAATTTCCCATGCTTTCAGGATTCATCTATTACATACAGTAGGTGTTATGGGAATGCACTGAAATAAATTGAATCTTTATGCACAAGAGAAATTTGGACAGCAGTTTAACTTACCCTGACCTTCTGAATAATTAAGCATATGTAGTTTAAGTTCTTTCTTGATCTTATTCAATTCTAATTTTATTCTTGTGTAATCTGCCTTTATATGATCATCTTATTTTCTTGGAATTATCTTCATGAATAACACTAAATATTAATATTCAGTTGCTTAGTTTCAAAACTACTCAATTTTGTTTCCTTATTCTTATGTGACCAGCTTCAATTATTAGCTGACTATGTAATTTCTCTTTATTCTAGACTTTGCATCTCTTGGGTTTCTAACTGATTAATATCTCTAGAGAAAATATTGAAATACATTCTTAAACTGACCGACCACTACCTATTTAGTATTGACTTCATACTTTATTGTAATGTAAAGCTATAATGAGAAACCAGTTGTATTCTTATCTCAATGGGGATACATTAGGATTTATCTAAATTTGAATTAAGAACTTATTCATCTGAATAACTTGATTTAAATTAAATTTTGATGCTTGTTGTGGACCGAAATTCAAGTATTTGAATAATTGTGACGCTACTCAAGGGATAAAATAGTAAAAAGGTATTAATATTCCACAAAACAAATACAGGTAAGTTATGCAGAGATTACTTGCAAATAATCAGTGGTTGCGCGTTCACAAGGTTCAATCGTAATTTCACAAATTTTGAAAGAAGACTGTCAATTCAAAATATGGAATGCACTCCAAGATGGTGACCAATAACTGACCAAGATGTGGTTGAGATCCACCAGTTATAAATGAATGTGCAAGTGTATTAGAGATCTGTTGATGTTGTACCAAACTGAGAGAAAACGAAATGTTGTATATGAAGCACTTACATTCAGTGAATGTTACTCATTGAGAGTGTACGGGGAAATTCAATATCGATCCAACGTTTTTTTTAGTTTAATGATAATAATTCTAAAGATTAACGAAGTTATGGGAAACGTGCAACATGACAAAAAGGTTTACAAATTAGGTCAACATTAACCACCTCCACATGTTCTGTAAATGAGATGAGTTTGATTTTCTTATAAAATATTGAACTGAAATATATTTTAAGCATTACATTACATTAAAGAAGCATGGAGACTTGTGGCGTGTGCGACTTATGTCGACGAACATAAATAGTATGTAACACCAATTATAGTTGAATGGCTTGCAGTAGAAGGCTAAGAAGATTGAGTTGGAGATGACAAAAAGGGAAATACAAAGGAATTGTGAATTGGAAGGATTGTATGGAATGTAAAGGATAATTGATGAAGGATTTATAAACGAAGTATTTAATGTATGGTTCTCATATTTTATGAAAAGATCCTGTAATTTTGTATCGAACACTAAATTGGCTGTTCCCACCTGTGTCTCATACACTACAGACTAAATGATGGAAGTAAAAACGTGGTGAAAGCGTCGTATTCATTAGGAACGACTTATTGAACCACAGTACAGGAGGTAAAATAATCAAGTTTGTTATTTAGTGTCTAGTTGACCTATTTGTCTTTCAGAGAATGATGATTTTTACCTATGTTTATTTTCAAGAGGTCATGATTATTCTAGCAATTCACTGAGTTATTAAAACATTCAATCTTTAACTGTCTAGACGGGTAAACAAATATATACGATGGGATATTATGTTTTATTTTATTGTATGAATAATATGTTCAATGGAGGCAGACAGAATAAAAAAAGTGTCACTGTGAGCTTGTTAACGGATTTCTTTACAAAACTTATGAGAATTGTGGAATAATCAAATAAAGATCCGTCGATTACCTCATTAGGTGTAGGATCTTATTAAGTTTCACTAAATTATCATATAATTCATGTAGCCCAGTTACAACGAGCTATCAAAAGTTTAATGAACAGAAAGAATCCGTATTTGCAAATTCTAAGTGATTTAGCTAAAACCAATAAAGTGTTTACACAGGGTCCTGAAATTTTTTAACCTTCACATCGTTATTCCAGATAGATCTTTTTCTATCGACTATTATTCAACTAACTTTTCTTTAACGATAGATCATGTTTTGCTACAGTGTTAAAAATAATGACAATGTGAACATATTCATTAAGTGTAGCCACTGAAACTGGAACAAATTAACACACTACTTCAAATTATCATGACTCACTTCATAAGTAACCTATTGATGAGTTTGATCTTGTCTCACAATCATTTAAGCAAATTAAAATCGTAATTAAGAAAATTCGGTGGACAAGTCAACAAAGCTCAAGATCTGATAATAGAAACTATCGAGTTATGTATTAATATACCTTATTGACGTGAATAAAAACTATTTACAGGTTGATACAACTTGAATCCAGAGATTTATACATTTCAGTGTCTTCTGAAAGCATGACAAAGTAACCCATGCCATAGTATCTAATCTTTATTAATGATCGATCTTTAATAATCAATTATAATGTGTAACCTGAGCTACGTGTTTTGGTCTCATAATACACAGTTTCTTGATGTTAGACAACTGAAAGCAATCGAAAGAAGGTCAGGAACTTGATCTTCGTAATAACTAATGTCAGTATTTTCAGTGAGTTTTAGAACTAAATGGGATGATTATTCTCATGGAATTTAAACTCATGTCATTAAGAAAAAAATAAACCGATGTTTGTATTTGCCTAAACATCAGAGAAAATATAATCTACCATTTAAACCAAAGAACTAAAGAGTAGGTGTTAACATTCATGACTGAATATATTGTTATTTCTTTCCTAAACATATCACTGAAATCACTTAGATCTTTATATTCACACAATACATTTATCATAGAACAATATTAACTAATTACATAGGTAGTTTTATCAATGATTAATAATGTTCTTTAGACTAAACGAATTACTCTCTTAATCGGTCAGTACATTAAATATTGATTTCCAGTATTCAGGACACTTCACTTCATCTCATTGATATATAAATATAAAAATCTAAATTACATTATTTCAATAATAATGACATACAGTATTGTAATATCTAAGACATTCTTAATTCAGATAGGTTTATTAGACTGAGAAAAAAAATATACGATTATCTTGTGACCCATTTCAACCTACAAACATTGTTTAATTATGAAATTTCATTACATTACCTTGTTACATTTGATTAACTAAATCATATGTCAATTATAGTTTGTTTACAATATTATTTATATCAGAGTAAAATAACAATTGTGTTCTATGGGGATACAAATAATTAGTGATTAAATATATCAGAAGGGGTTTTGTGGAGATTTTAATAATTTCAATAGTTGAAAGCATGAGTCAATTGAAGCTAGACCACTATGGAAAACCTGTGACTGACTTAAGGAGGCATTTCCTGGAGTTCTAGTGAGAAGTCGTTATCAGTGGAGTTCAACTAAGTCGGTTGTGAGATATCAGCTCACTAAAGACAATGGTTTACGGTGGCGCTATTTCGTGGATTAGTTGAAGTTAGACATTAACACCGTTGGATGCTGGCCGGCTCAGTGGTCTAGTGGTTAAGCGCTCGAGCGCGAGACTGATAGATGCTGGGCTCGAATCTCGTGGGTGGCGGGATCGTGGATGCGCACTGCTGAGGAGTCCAGTACTAGGATGAAACGGCCGTCCACTACTCCCAGATTTTCCATGGTGATCTAGCTGCAATAGACTCATGATTTCAACGAATAAATATATATCCTTGTTTTCATTGTAATGTAGTTTAATTGTTAAGTAACGTCTACTACATACTTTATGTTATTAAATGAAGAAATTTTATATCATACTTGTCATTAAAATTGGAATTTGTTAGTTTTCATAAATTAGGGTTGAGAATAAACGATTAAACTAATGATTAGAGATTTTAGTTATATAATCAATGAAAACTAAAGGGGATTAGATGATCGTTTCATTTCAACATAGGATTCTTCAGAAGTACTTATTATTTATGTAGAAACCGGAATTGCCAGGTAACTTTTAGATCAATGATTTATCATCGAGTGGTGAATATTTTAAACGTTAATCAATGAACATTTATTAACTTGACATTTATGTTCTAGATTGTTTGTCACAATAATAATATTAAAGTCATAATGGTCTGAAACATCAAGGTTCTGAAGAATGAACACGGACTAGTTATAAATTCAATCACAAACTGTGTGCATTTATCGTAATACAAGATTTTCGTGAAATGTTTTGAGATAATGAAGCATCCAACA